AAGTATGGAAAAAAATAGAGAAAACATGCGGAAAATAATGATGGGGGAGATGGAAGAGGAGTTGAAAAGTATCTAAGTGAGGAACTTGATGGTTAATAGTTGTTTAAAAATAGTTCAAGAAAAAGCAAAACCTTAAAATTAAATCATTAGAACCTATGAAAAAAACCGAAAATATTGTCCTCGCCGAAAATAAAAAAGCTAAAATAGCCGAAGTTAGACAATTGGAAGAAAACCAGGAATTAGAGAAAGTTAAACATGACCCATTACCGAAAACCACTATTCCGGAAAATTTTGAATTAAACTGGGTCAATAAGAATACCTATTTTGTCCTTTCTCCGACCCAGCTGGAAAAAATAAAAAAGACTGCCGAGCAGGTTTTTAAACTAGCCAATGAAACTTTGTTAGAGGTTATAAAGCAAAAAGAAGTTAAACCTTGAATCGAATCCCGGTATGGAACAGTTAAATCCTTGTGAGAAAATGGCCAAATGGGAATAAATTTAATGAGAATTGATTTTGCCTGGGATCAAGCGGGAAATTTAAAGGTATTAGAACTGAATACTTCATCTCATAGTGGTTGAATAGTAACTGGTCTAATTGAACAAGAAACCGCCGCTGATAAAGTTGGTATTCCTTTGGCTCCTGAGCCTATGTTTTATGCCAAATATCTGTTAGAAAAGTTGGGACCCAAAATAGCCATTATGGTTAAAGGGGCTGAATATAGCAAAGAATTAGATTTATTATTACCGCAGCTGGAAAGTTTAGGCGGAAAAGGTCGAATTATAATTCTTTCTGAAACTGCTCTTACTGAGGTGATCGACTTTGCTCCCACTGGTTTATTTTGGCGTTGTCATGCCGCTTTGATCGAACATTCCAAACTAGTGCTGGAACTGGCGAAATTAGGTCTACCACAAATATCATCCTTTGAATCTTTGTTTATTGCCGGGGATAAATCATTTTTGGCTATTTTGAAAGAAAGGGATACCACCGGCACGATTCCTAAAACTTATGTTCTATCAAAAAATAACTTGGCTCAAAACCTTAGTTGGTTAGAAAAGGATCAGACGGTGCTAAAACCGGGCGATTTAGCCCGGGGTGAAGGAATTTTGTTTGGTAAAAATTTTACTAATGAGGAGTGGGAAAAGAAAATAAGGAAGGCCATGAGTTCGAATGAAGAATGGATACTACAAAAATTGTGCTACTTGTCAAAAACTAAAGATGGCAAGTATCAAGACATTGTTGTTTTTCTAGCCGATGGTGTGGTGCGAGGGATCTCCTCCCGGGTTTCTGATCACGAAATAGTAAATATAGCCCAAGGAGGGAATCGTCAAGCCGTGGTTTTGGATTTTGTAAAGTAGTAATTAAATGGACTACTTAGCGAATAAAGTTGAGGATATTGACCAGTAAATAAGAAAAAACGAAGCAGGGAAGTAAAAATTAGGGTGATAATTTGTCCTGCGGCTAATTCTTAGGGTTATTTTTCTCGCTTATTCTTAAATTTTAGCCGTTTTTTCTATACTTATTGGCTGAGTTTTTTGTCCTAACTGGTTTGAAAATAGGTTTTATATACTTTTCCTAGGAAGCTAGGTAATATGAGAAGAATAAAATAATAATATGAATGAACGCCCAATTAAAACAAACAAGCATCAGGTAATGATTTTTCTTCAAGAGGAAAATTACAACAAACTTAAAGACTTGGTAGAAAAGAGAAAAATCAGCCGTTTTATCAATGAATTAATTGAGGAGAAACTCCAAGCAACAGAAAAAAAAGAAAAAGAACAGTTAAGGCGACAGTTAATTAAAGGTTATCAGGCTGTCGCCAAAAGTCAAAAAAGAAAAGCCGAGGACGAAATTTGAGACGAAACCACCTCCGACGGATTAAAATAACATGGAAAGACCAAAAAAGCAACCTCCTCATCCTTTTCCTCGCTACGGAGAAATTTACTCAGTTTACTTCAATCCCAAAAAAGGCAAAGAAGTCGGCAAACTTCGTCCCGCCTTAGTAATCAGCAATGATATTCAAAACGAATATGACAGCCATATTATTGTGGCTCCTTTATCGGACGAGGATTGAGAGGGCTTGGCCGAAGTTCATATTTTTGAAATATTAATTAAGGCTAATTCTGCTAATGGTTTGGCAAAAGACAGCAAGATTTTACTTAACCGAGTGCGAGCCGTTGACTGAGAACTCCGGAAGCGAGATTATTGCGGAGTGGCTAGTGAAGGATAATGGAACAGGTGAATAAGGGCTTAGAATTGGTTTTAAATATCAAAAAAGTGTTTTAGTATGAAAATAGCCAAATCAATGAATACTGTGAATACTATATATTGATATTCCCCCCTCATGGCCACTTAGGTGGTTAATAATTATTTAGGAGATTGTTCTATTTGGGTTTGATAAGATTGGTATTCCTGTCTTAATTCTTGTTCATTAGTGTAGTTTAGAACTTGTTCAGAGGTTAGTTGTTTAGTATCTCGGAGTCAAGTAACAAAGTTATAGTCGGTTGGTTGTAAACCAATATTTATCCACTCTTGAGTTCGGGAGTAGGTGAAGTTGTGATTAGTTCAAAATTGGATTAATTCTTGAGTAAATTTGGAATGGATATTAGTTCAGTTCTGATTGATAGCATTATCATCTATTTCCCTTGGTTCTTCTGTCACTAATTTTTCTAATTTTATTGATTTGCTTTCGCCTTGGGTGGCAGCGGTTTGAGAAGTGATAGATAGTTGACTTTTATTTCTGACTGACAACTCTTCTATTTCTTTTTGACAATCCTCGATTTCCTTATATTCCTCGTTTAAAGGCTCTTCCTTAACTTTTCAGACTTTTAATTCTTCTTTCCAGTTTTCAATTACTTTTTCCATATCAGACAAAGAAGTGCGATTTTCTATTTCTCGGTAATCTCGGTAAGCAAGATAGAAGCCTAATAAAGGGTTAGGAAACGGAGCACATTTAGCAAGTGCTTCTAAGGTAGCCCTCCCCGCTTTTCAAGCAGTAGAATGATTTTTTTCTTCACCTTGATTTTCATTAGTTTCAATTTCCTCTCCCAACACCTTTTTTAATACTTTTTTGACTACTTCAATTTTCTTTTTATCTATATCCTGCTTCTTATACTCTGAATCCTTGAACTGATCATAAATTTCCCTGAATCGACCAATAGAATTTTTTAACTCAGTTTGTAAATTTTCTAATTTTTCACGATTCTCTTTATCTTTGTTAAGATTTTCTTCAAACAAATCATATAAACTCTTTTTTTCAGTTATTCAAAAAGCTTCAGAACTAGAAACACCTATTAAACTACCAACTGATAAAAAGGCTCCTGGCACAAAAGCAGGCGGAAATCACACTCCTGCAACTAACAAAAATTTCCCGCTTAAAGAAATGGCGTGACCCGTAGTATTAATAAAAAACCTGTTTTTCATGTGTTCATTTAATTTTTCCTTGCGTTCTTCAACCAACTTAACTACTACTTCTCGGTCAGAAACAAATTTTTTTAATTGATCGTTGTAACCATTAAAATGAGAGCCTGTAACTTTAATTGCTTGCTCAGTTTCTTCTACAATTAAATTAAACTTTTCAACCGCCTCACAAAACTTACTAAGAAATTCAGTTTGGTAAACTGTTTGGCAAGTTTTCAAATGTTCTAACAATTTTCTTCTTGAATCTTCTCGAGACCTCAATTCAGGCTCTTCTTCTTCAGTTAAGTTATTTACATGAATAAAACCGTTAGCTGCTTCAATTATCTTTGCTAAATCTTGATCCTTGGCAATCATCCTCTGCTTATCCGCTTCACATTTTTCAATTTTTCGATTTTTCGGAAACTAGGAAATTTTGTCCGCACAATTGTGGTATATTTTCCAATATCTTTATCAAAAATAACTTCTTGTAATAAATTATAGGCCTGCTTTTCTTTCTCAGCAAAGCGACCACTAGTGACAAATAATACTTGGCTTAAACCATCACGAATGACACTAGTTGCACTTTCTAACTTATTCAATATTTCCTCTTTTGACAATTGAGTATCACCAATTCCCGCCGTGTCAATTATACGATAAGTTATACCGTCTAGTTCAAATTCTTCAATTTGCACTTCCTTAGTTTCACTAATACCGCCTTCGCTTTCTTTGAAATTATTAGTTCCTGTTATCACATTAGCAAGAGTAGATTTGCCATTTCCCGTGTATCCTATTAATAATATATTTCTAATTTCTTTTTCTCCTAATTGTTCTTTACTTACTATTTCTTCATTAAGAGAAAATGATTGGTTCATTATATTTTCAAAAGCATGAATTTCACAATATTCTTTGTCCTCTGAAACTGAATTATGGCAATTTACTATTTTACAAAATTGATTCCCCAACATAATATTTATTATTTTTTCAAAACAATCCCATAACCATGCAAATAATTGGCTAATTGTTGTTCATCTTCAAACTTCAAAAATGTTTCTCCTCTTTCGATAAACTTATAAGTAATTCCCATCGGGTGAAGCGAGCCACTGCCGATAACTTGTTTTCCTTGCGACATTAAGCGACCAATTTTTTCTCCCTGATAGAATAACGGAATATTTTCCGGCAACTTTCGGAAGAGCAAATAATAGTGCCTGCCCTTATAACTTTCCACATAGGAAATTTGGGGAAAATGATACTGTTCTCCATGCTTGTCAATATCCAAAGCACAAAAATAGTAATCACCTAATTTTTTACCAGTTCTTAGACCATAATTACCCACCTTTACCAGTTCGCTTATGGTTCGATTTTCCAGATAGTCTACTCAATTTTGCAAAACCGGTTCTTTACTATTTTGCTTGATTGCTACCCTAATATGAGGTTGGTCAAAATATTTTGCCTCGCTTGGAGAGTTAGTTTTGTTTTTCTCTTCCGCTAAACTTCAAAAATACTTCCAATCATTAGACTGCTCTCACGACATTTCCCAAGCCGCGGTGCTGCTAACCGACATGCCCTTAGTAAATTCATTAAATCTTTTGCGAACTTGGCGATTATGAGAACGACAAAGGACTTTTTTTCTATCAAAAAGAGGTTTCGCACAGGTAATTCGATCCTTTTGTTCATCTCCCGGGAAAAAAGAGCAAAAACTATTTATTTCCTCCCCGCCATCATTTACCAACTTATTCGAAAAAATTTCCTTGATTTCTTTGTCTTTTTTTAGACTTATCAGTTGGGTCTGTTTTTCATAGACCTCTAACATTCTCTCCAACACTTCCACCAACTTCAATTTTTCTTTTTCGGCTATCCCTTTTACTTTTTCCAACCACTCTTTACTTACCCTAGTAGCAAATTGCTCGGTTCGTCCAGTCTTTCGCAAAGTTCTTTTATCTACTTTTTCCCCAATTACTTCCGGCAATTGCAAATGAGAAGTAGTTTCGAAAAGAGAAGGCGGAGTTTCTAATTTATGTCTTTTTAATTTTTGTCAGTCATTCATATCTTTTTAATTCTTAAAAACATACAGAAATTATTTTTTTAACTTTCATATAATTTATTTTATAGCTGCTAGATTGTTTTTATTATCTAGCCGCTAGATACTTTTTTAATAACCTAAGCATAAAAAGTTATAAATAACTTATGATTTCTTTTACTAATCCTTTGGCTTCTTTTTGTAAACCCTTATAAATAACCTCACTAATGCTTTTTCCCTCATTTTGAATTAAGCGATAAGAGGCTTTTTCTTTTAAGGAATGATTAAGCACTGAATAACCCGCCATAGTTAAATATTTTCGGGCGGCTTCCTCCTCGCTTTTAGTGGCTAAATGGTTAAGCACGAATACTAATTTTTTTTTAGGAATACCGGCTTTTACTAACGCATGAAATTCATTAACCGAAGGCTTTAAGTCGGCTAAACTTGCCCCCGTAGGCTGAATTACTAAATTAGCCCGCTTGGCGATTTCCAAGGTTCCTTGGCTAGTGCGGGCGGGCCCATCAATAATCGTTAAGTCAAAGTCTTTTTCTTGTTTAATTATTTCTTTAAAAGTGGCAAAGGACAACACAGTCAAATATTTACTTTTTTGTTGTCTCCGCTGATTTCATTCTCAACTAGTTTTTTGTTGAGGGTCATAATCCGCTAGTAAGGTTTTTATTTTTTGCTGACTGGTCCCGCTGGCTAATGCTTGGGCAAGAGTAGATTTTCCCACCCCTCCCTTTTGGCTAATAAACGCGATTATTGTCATACTAACTAATTATTTTTTTAAGAACAAAAAATCACAGATTATTTCTTTCACAATAAAAAGTATCTAATTTTGTCCTCAAAGGCTAAAACTTTTTTTAATTTAATTTCGGTTTTGGCTAATAGTTCAGGCGGCAAAACACCAACTTTATTTTTTGATAACCGCTTTTTGCTAACTGATTTTATTTGTTCGCACATAATTTTGCTTTCTTTATAATTACTGATTATCTTACCAACCTAAATATCAAAAGGATAAATTTTCTCTATTTTAGAACTCATGGGTAAAACTACTACTCGCGAACCTTTTTCATTTTGCCAGTTATTCGAAATAATTACGGCCGGGTGAGGGTCGCGAATTTCAGTGCCAACAGTTTTACCAAATTTTACTCAGTAAATATCACTTCTCCTAATTGGTTCTTTATGTTCCCCAAGCAAATTTTCACTTTTACTCATCCTCTAAATTTTCCCAGGCTTCGGCTTCTTTTTCTCGTTCTTTATCTTTGGCCGCTAATCATAACCTTTTTTTCATTCTTCTTCCTCTTTTAATAAATAATTCCGCATCAGAATAATTATTTCTTCTTCGGTTATTTCTTCCTGCTCTACCCGATATTTTAATTCTTGTAAAAATTCTTGTTTATTGATTTGTCTTAATTCAGTCATAATATTCTATTTTAATACTTTTCTATCTACCGCTTTCGGTAAAAAGAGTTTATGGAGGATTTATCATCGCCCAAGCGGTTTTTTATAACCACTTCCCCGATACCCCAATTAATCTTGGAGGCTTAATTTCCCCTTTTTCAGGCTTTACAAATTCACACAAATTCCTTTATTTTTTTGTTCTAATTCTCCAAATAATGCCCGCTAACACTACTAAAATTACCGCTATGCCACCGCCAATCGCTATTTTGGCAGATAGAGAAAGACCATTATCTTTATTAGTGCTATTATCCAGTGTCTTACTATCAAAAAATTTCTCTAATCTCTCTAATTTATCCTGCTTTTTCTTTAATTCGGCTTGTTTGCTACAAATACTTAAAACCTTATTGTTTTTTAATTCCGCTATTTCTGATTTTAATTTTTTGATTTCAGTAATTAACTGCTCTTTGGTTCAGTTTTCATAATTCTCAGACTGATTTTGGCTTCTGATTGGAGTATTTTCCTCCTCGGGGAGTTGCTCGGATTGGCTCGTTTTCGGTCAATCTAAGTCTAAGCCATGGGTGTCTTTTGCTACCCCAGTGGTTCAAATTTCCCGGAGAACTTTGCCGGCCTTTTCCTCCTGCTTTATTCAGTCGTTATATCTTACTTTTGAGCCATGGAGATTTAAAACCAATACCGCTAACTCATTCACCGGGGCACCGGCTTTGTGATAGGCTCCCAAAACAGTTTCTATGGCATATACTTCACCATTTTCTTTTCAAAGTTCCTGAGGCCAACCTACTCTCGTTTCTCCTTTCTCATTTCGGGGTCAAAAGTCTCCATAACTTTCGCCATCAAAACCTACATACAAGTCAAATTTTTCCTCATTATAATGTTCGGAAGGAACAATCCCTTTATTTTTAGCATGTCAACTTTTAAACTCGCTAAAAAACTCCCCTCAATTATCACAAATAATATTTTTGGTTCCGAATTTGTCGTATTCAATTTTCATATTAATTAATTTTTACTTCTAAAACTTCTTTAACTCCTGATATTCCGAAAAACTAACCAATAACTTCCTCAACTTCTCAGTATACTTATCATGCTTTTTTCCATGTCCACCATTCACTTCTTGACTTTTAGGGTCAATATCAGTTAAAAAAGCATGTGCTAACTCATGCAAACAAGTTTTAGTAAATTGGTAAAATTAAGATATGGTAAACAAAAAAAGAGTTTTCGAGTTAAAGCAATCCAAACCACAACGCTTAACTGATAAAGCAATGCACCAGTTATTAACTAACTTAAAAAGAGAAGCCTACAAAACCCCAGAAGAGAAAGGCAGTTTTAGTCTAGAAGTAATTTGTAGTGGTAAAGATATGCAGGGTAAGAAAAAGTAAGTAAAGGGAGATATACCCAAGTGGCCGAAGGGGGCAGTTTCGAAAACTGTTAGGGAGTAAAATCCGCGGGGGTTCAAATCCCTCTATCTCCACCAAAAAAATAAAAATTATGAATAAAAAATTATCAAACTTTGTGCGAGTAATTATCCAAAATAAAAAAGGAGAATCAATAGTAATCTTTCAAAAAAAATGAAATTGTTGAGTTTTCCCGGGCGGTAAAATAGAACCGAATGAAACACCTTTACAAGCGGCTAAAAGAGAAGTATTTGAAGAGACTAATTTAATAATTGAAGATTTAGAGATAGTTGCTGAAAAAGAATTTTTTAGTGATGAACTACAAAAAAATAAAACGGGTTATCTGATTAAAGCTAACAAATACTCAGGAGAGATAAAAATCAAAGAATCAGAGAAGATTGCTGATATTCAAATTAATAAACCTTTTTTTGCTATCAAATTTGAAGTTGATTAGCAAGAGAAAGTGAGAGAAAAACTCGCTGAGGAGTTAAACCAAGCCGGGTAACAATTTTGATTATCATTGTTTTTTCTTGGTCAAAAAAGTAAAATATAAATAATGTTAATTGTATTTGTTGGTATCCCTGGTTCCGGAAAATCAAGCACGGTTAA